AGCGTCCGAACCAGCGGCGGTGACCCCGGCGATGCTGCGACCGTTACTCCCCGCACCAACAGTCTCTCCCCCGGCGGCGGCAGCGGACACAACCGCTCCGTTCTGCGGAGGGTTTTCACTTTCCTCCCCGCGGTTAGGCTCGGTAATCCTCTTCCGAACACCCGCTCCTGTCGTCCCGACTTTCTCCCCTTCTCCAGCTCCGAAGTTTTCGCTCTCATTCCCCACGGCGATGTGATGCTGGCAAGCCCCGTTGTCGTGCGAGTGAGCCCGGTCTTCCTCCTTGCTGCTGCCGCTGCTGCTATCAGCGCAGACGGTTCTTGAAAACGTCCCGCGGACCCCGCAAATACGCTGAAAACGGGCTACAAGGTGGGGGTCTTGTAGATAGTGGAACAGTTCTACAAGACGGTTACTTTTCTCCATGTTCAACCCGATTTATTCACCCTCTACACTGGCTGGAAGAACGAACACGGGCTCCGCTACTTTCCTCTCCCGCCCCCGAGCAGTTGGAAGAGCTCCCCGGCTAACGTTAGCTAGCTAAGCCCGAGCATCACGGCAGAGTGCCGCTCAGAAGTGAACCGCGAACCGTTTATTTTAAACAAGTTTTAAACGGCAGGTCGTGATTTTCAAACAGATATTTAAATGTTGTTGGAGGAAAACGGATCAACCGAACGGTTCGGTTCTTGTTCGACAGCGTCCAGGTGCGTTCAGGGTCCCGCTATCTGCGTGGAGGAGCAGCCTGTAAACTGACAGATAAACACGGAGCGCGCCTGCCCTGTTGCCTTCTCGTGCTGTCGGACATCTCGCAACTCTTCATTCTGCGCCGGAGGTAGATTCAGGACCCTGGTCTTGAGGTTTTTTTTTTACTGTGAATTTAGCAACCTGGGGGCGAGTTTGCGTCCTACAATAAAATTTATTTATATGCACTAGTTTGCAATTTACAGGAAAAACTTGATTTGTATAGCACATATATTGTATATTATTGGTTATTGTTGCTTTTAAAATAGATAAACCCATTTTTCCACTTAATTGTGTGTGAATAATGGTTATTTTTTCCATCTATCTTTAAATTGTTCTTGAAACTGTGAGTAAACACATTTTCACATGTACACACCGGCCACATATGGTGCAGTGGATAAGACATATTCCTTTGGTGTGAGAGACCCAGGTTCAATTCCCCACTGTCACATGTCCACCAATGTGTTCCTGAGCAAAACACTTAACCCTTAGTTGCCCCAGAGGCGTGCGACCTCTGACATACAAAACAATTGTAAGTCACTTTGGATAAAAGCGTCAGCTAAATGAATAAATGTAAATGTACTTGGCTGTAAAATCTGATTATTTCTCTTATTCCAGGTTGTTTGGATTAAATATATTTTGACAACGTCTAGTGGTGGGTGATATTACCTTAATATTTTACCGTTTAATAAATCAACCAGCTGGTGATATTGTTAATCACCATTGTGTTAAATAACAGTCTAAAGTTAGAGAAGCTCCCTGAAGGAAAAGGAAATATCTCACCACTGTGAACTTTTCCTGGTCAATATTTTGCACATAATTTTAAATGTACTCGTTTGGTAGACGCTTTAAGGTTCTTCATTTATCTTTCTTTATATTACTTACTATGCTTATTGTTAGGCCTATAAGCCAAGGTAAATTTCTTGTATGTGAAAACTTACTTGGCAAGTAAGATCAAGCCCACATGCCCAAGACCCGAGTTTCTTTACCTGACCACTTTTTGATACAAAAGACACAAGCATTGAGGTGCAAACACAGCCTTATTAAAGACTCAGCATTTCTCTATCTGAATTTTTAATCATCTGTATAGGCCTAATAAAAACCTTGAGGCATAACCCCAGTATTTTACAAAATCTTGGCTTCAGCCCTGCAATTAAACTGAATTAAAAATGTTCTTCCACTTTCACTTGAGCTTCTTTAACGGTGACATTTAATCATGTATAGGCTTTGTCTGAACTTTGAAAACTGTGTAAATCAGAAACTTTTGAACGCACATGCAAGAAAACAATGGCATGTTACCAATAAATGTAGATCCGGATATTTAATTGGGGAATGAAGCCATTTTGGATTGGAGCCTCTGACGTTGGATTTTGGAAGGAGCACTTGAAGGCAACAGTAGTTCCGGCGCGCACGCATGATAGACATGCCCAATACGTCAAGACGTAACGTGACCGCGCTTAGTCTATAGCATATTTCGTGGCGCAACTTACATGTCTCTTAAAATTAACCTCTGAAATACAGTAAATACAAACAAAAGCAAAACAAATAGTAAAAACAAAATACTACATAAATGTATAATTACAAGCTATTCATGATAGATAGATGGATAGACAGATAGATTCAAGAACGTACCTCTTTCACTACTTCTCTAAACAAAGATGCATTAAAACACATAAAGATAGTGTCATCTCATATGCTTTATTTGATTATCAATCACCTGAAAAAAAAAGTTTAACCACCCTTTTTCAAAATACTTTATCTTAAATATGGAATATGCATTTTTTCATCAAAATATAAATTCCTAAAACCTCTTTCTCTTTAATAGTTGCCTGCAGTTTGTTGTTGTAGTTGTTGTCTTCCATTATGGTGATTGTTATCAAGACGCACATTTTCAAACCCAGTGAAACTCCTGGACAGAGACCGAACACTCAAAACACAGAAAGAGACACTGAAAGAGGATGAATCGTTATATCACGGTTGTCATACAGCAGATCAGTCAGCTAAGCTTTATAAGCAAAACTCAGTCCCATGTGACAACATGTCATCTGCATTATAACCAGAGACTGATAGTTTGAAAATATGGAATATAATATAAATTTAAACACATTCTGCTCTCTGCTTTAAAACCACAACAGGGCTGAAAATCTTTCAAAAAAAAGTTTGCACGCTGTGTAAAATTTAAATAGAAACAAAATGTGATGACGTGCAAAACATTGATCCCCCACATTTAATTTAATAGTAGAGTTTCAGCATGCATTTGTGGAAGCAGCGACGAGCTTTGTTCACAGACGGTGGTTTATGGAAGCGTTCCTGAGCCCATGCAGTGATGTCCACTACAGAATCAGGTTCGGCCTTGTCCTTTGCGTACAGAGATTTATTCAGATTCTCTGACTCTTTTAATTATGTGATGTACCGTAGAGAATAAAATACCCAGTTTCAATTTTATGGTGAGAAACCATACTACTTGTGAGCGCAGTCTTTCACAGAGTGGTGAAGCCCTCCCCATCTTTACTTCAGAACAACTCTTTTAATAGCCAGTCATGTTACTATTCTTTTGCCACTTGATAATTAATTGTAAGATGTTCTACGCCGTGTTTTCTTTTAGCATTTCACAACATTTCCAGTCTTTTGTTTTGCCGCTGTCCCAACTTTTTTGAAACGTGTTGCTGGCATCAAATTTGAAACGGGCATTTCATTTTCCAAACAACAAAAACATTTGATCAGTTGTCTTTGTGCTATTTTTAAATTAAATATGGTTTCAATGTTTTGCACATCATCAGATTTTGTTTCTATTTTCTATACTTTACACAGGGTGCCAACATTTTTGGAAATGTTCTTAGTGTTGAAGAGAATGAGAAGAGATCTCCTTTTTTTTAAACCACAAAAAAAGCAAAACATTACTTTTTTCACCATATAACTAAAAAGGGAAAACAACAAAAAGAAAGATTAGTACCCCTGTTGGAAAAACATTACTTTACCCCATTTTAGCATTGTAAACATACATTTTAATATATGGTTTATAGCACACTATAATGTAATTGTACATGTTTATAAATATATAGTATTTTTCAACAATTATAATTTCTCTTTAGACATATTTTATATTATTATATCTGTGCTTTAATTGAATTATAACACAATTGTATTATAGTGTGTCGTAAACAATCTATTAAATACCTATAAATGTACAATAGGGACACTTATAGTAAAGTGTTACCATCTTTTCTTATTATCTTTTTTTATTGCATTGTGGGATTTGAATGCATCAGCCACTAACAAGGGCTTAGAGATGAGTTCTTTCACCAGCAGAGGGCAGCAAGGTAGTGCAAGAAGAAAAATAACTGAGCAGCACGCTGAATGAACACAAACATCAAATAACATAGAAAGAAAACAGCCATCCAACAGGCAGTAAACACACCTGAGTAGCAATGACAGTTCACACAGTCCAGGGAATGTTATACAGAATATTTCATAAATCACACGGTAGAAATTAAAAGATAACCGAAGCATACATCAGCACATATTCTCCACCCAAGCCAAGGTGCGTTAAAAAGTAGCTTGCCGTCTTGTAAATCCCTGAATACGCTCACGGTTCACATGAGCAACAATAACAGTAAAAATCAATATCACAACATCAACAGCAAAAATAAAAACTAAAATAAAAAGATCCTGCCTGCTTCAGGTGTCTCTGCGACAGAGTCTGACATCAACATCGGAGAACCCTGCTGATCCTGAGGCCGAAGAAGAATCAGGGTTTCTCAGGGTCTCAAATCCACAGCTGCCTTTCAGCAAAGGTGACGTCCTGACAGCAAACTATAAACAGACCTACGTCACCTGTCCCATAAATGTTTTTACTAAGAAGGTGTCCTCCCTGGTGATTTTGTCCACGTTCCGTAACGTGAACTGCAAGTTGCATTTCTCAGCTTAGAATTAGAGGCGTGACAGCGAGGGTCTGGGCAGTCAGCCATTATCGTCCAGGTTGTACAGAAGGACTTGGTGGTTGGGGGTGAGACCCGGGCAGGTACCCAGGCTGTACAGGCATCCGGCCGACGGGTAACAGGGCACCAGCCGGTAATGCTGAAGCTCCTCCAGGCCGAACGCCGGGGAGCAGCAGTCCATTACCAGCACCTTCACCCTCTTCCTGTCCGGGTACAACAGCCTCCGCTGCATCCTCTCTCCTATGACCTCCTCCTCCTCCTCCTCTTCCTCTTCTTCTTCTTCTTCTACTTCATCTTCTTCCTCTTCCTCTTCTTCAGCCTCCAGCTCCTCCTCCTCATGGTGGATCTTCCTCAGCAGGTTGTTGATGAGGACGGAGCGCCGCAGGTAGGCCTCGGGGTCCTCCAGGAACCTCAGCTTCTCCAGGGAGAGCTTCAGGATGCAGCTCCGGTCCTCCTGCAGTATCAGGTGCTGCAGGTGACAAACATAAAGGCAGCGGGTTAAAATTCTTGCTTTCACATCTTAACTTGACAATTTTATCCCAAACTGTTTAGAAGGAGGGTATGAGAGGAGTAAGGTTAGCTATGCAGCTCAAACAAGCAGATAAAAGTCTCAGGGTCAAATCAACGGCACAAAAGAACCAAAACTCGCCTGATTCATTTAAATTAATTACAATAAAAGACATAATGTACTGTAATAGCACTTCTCTGTTGAGCCATGATCATTTTTACCATCAGCTGCAACAATGCAAATTCATTTTTCAACTTTTCTGGACATTATTAATGTTATAGCGACTTTTACAGATTTCACAAAGGGTTTACTTGTGTTTAATTAACTAAAATATTCGAGGTAAGCTAGAAGGTTTAGTCTGTTCATGCTTGACTTCACCAGTTTGTTAGCAAGAAGAAGGCCCCAGGCTCGCTAGGCAATCTTTATCTGTTTAACATTTTTATAAAACCGTTGCTACTTTCTCATGAAGTTTTCACAAACAACATGCATTTACCTAAACACGTCTCATAATAACATGATAGGATATTAATCTGGTTTTGGATAAGTTCAGGATTCACAGTAGATCGGGTGGCCGTGCTGTCTAGTTGCTCTCTGCTAAAGCTACATCAAGACAAGAGATCCTGAACATGTTAAATTTCTATTTATTCTATGGTTACGTTAGAGATCAAGTATGTAAGAATTGGGACTCTTTACTTGTCAAATTTATACTCCAAAAAATAGGGGGGCGGCATATTACAGATAAGGTCATGGCTGTTAGCTCAGCTATCTGTGCAGCTAACTTGGAGGTCCTATTAGGGCTGGGCGATGTGGACCAAAAAGTCATATCCCGGTACTCTTTGGCAGAATTCCGGTATAATATATATCTGTATTTTTTGCTGGGGTAGGCTATTTGTAGTAACTTAGCTTGTGTCTTATCTCAGACGCAGAGGGAGCGGCGGGGCTGTCAACATCAAACTATATCATTATACCAATATACCGCCCAGCCCTAGGTCCTATTAGCTGACCAAGTCTGTAATGGGCACCAGAACCTGAGCTGGGCTCGGCAGCCTCTCACTGATCAATGCAAAGACATGGCGGCTTCAGGCGGGAACAGGATATGTGTCAAGAGGGAAAGGTCAAGCGAGAGGGAGGTCTTGCATCAGAGAGGCAGCGACAGCGTATTTACCGTAGACTGTATATAAGAAGTGGACGTAGTCATGGTGACGTCACCCGCTGGTTTGTGGACTGCCGTTTTGAAGCCTCGAGTTTGGCCGCCTTGTTGATTTTTTTGCAACCAGCGGCACCGGACGTGACCATATTTGGACGAGACGGTGGAGCTAACGGGTCCGTGTGGAGCTAGCTAGCTTGCTTAGCTAGGTGCGTCTGTAATTCAGTCACTCTGGCCTGATTGACAGGTCGCCATGGTAAAGACGTTAAACTAGCAACTGAGACCATAAACTCATTACTGAGGTAATTATTCAGCTGAGAAGTAGCCTCATTTTATCATTATTTCTAACCGGACATCTTTTTGCAACCAGGAGAGTCGCCCCCTGCTGGCTGTTCAATAGAATGCAGGTTTACGGGACTTCTGCGATCTCATCAGATCCCTGACCGGAAGCTTCCCGCTTGGGATATACCCAGGATATTTTTACATCCAACTCTATGAATTAAGGGTTTATTTCCACCAAACAGAGCGGTCACCTTTTTATAACCGGTACGTGGACAATAATATGAAAAGACAACTCGTTCTCATGCCAGGGCGTCACATGTGGACGCTCAGTCAAGACCTCTTGGCGTTGCTTTTTAACACACTGGGTTCCCTTTAGTGTTGTTTTTGTACATCTAGGGCTCTGTGGTCAAGTTAGCAAGAATAAATAAGCAACTTCAGGTTATACTTTAAAGATAAAACTAGTGGTTAACATTGTGAAACGTTTCAATTTTGTTAGGTAAAGGCACCAAAATGACTTGGTTTGATTTAGGAAAACATCATGATTTAGGTTAAAATAACTACGTTACAAGGTACAAAGTAGGTTTATTTGTTACATTCCAACAGACTGTAAAATGAAATTAAGTTTAATTAACCCCCTTCTGCTGCTTCGCAGACAATAAACAGTAATACAAAAGCAATCAAAAAAAAGGTAGACAGAAATAGACTATCATCAGTGGAGCAGTGCTGAGGATGGTTTTTTAAAAGTCTGATAGCTTAGGGGGGAAAGCTGCTCTGCAGGTTACGTAACATAACTAAAAAGAACCAATGTTGACTTTTTGTTTCACATGGGAAACAAACACCAGTCTCCTGGGAAAGGTCTGTTTTTTGTCTGTTTTTAAGACTAGACCTACTCTTAGTGTTGAACGATGACGCTAACGTGTCACATGTGCGTTGGTAGCAGAAGGACGTAACAAAGCGAAGTTATCTGATGGTTTGGTTTAGGCACCAACACTTCTTGATAAGGTTTAGGAAAACATCATGGTTTGGGTTAAACTAACTAACGTTCCTTACATAACTTAACTAAAAACAATCAATGTTGACTTTTTGTTCCACACTGGAACGACCACTGGTCTCCTGGGTGATTGTCCGGTTTCTGACTCACCCGTCAACCCCAACCACCTCCTTATTCTGCCTTTTCTGCTATTTATAATAGGCCTCCTTCAAGCATTAAACTATGACGCTAAAAGGCTACCATGTGCGTTGGTGCCAGACGCTGAAGAACGCGACAAAGCGAAAAGTGAAATCGGGCTGGAAACAAACAAGTTCATACTTTTTGAAAATATCCATGTAGGCCTCCGTGTAAATCCTCCTCCTCCGCATATTTCCTCTTGAAGTAAGCAACTTTCGACGTTGTTGAATGGTTTGGTCTCTCTCACGGGGAAGGGGCTGCAGGAGGCAACGAAACAGAGATTAGACGACAAATCCAACAGACCGAAGGTTACACAGCACTGATCTTTAAGCAAACAACAGGGACAACATTGGATGTTTTTGAGCTCACTGGCAAAGAGCCAAGCGAACATCGACGGTGACCTTGGAAACTATTTGGGGAGTCAAGGACACTAACAAACATAGAGTGTGTATCTTTAAGTGTTTACTTTTTTTTCAGCCAGTTTTAAAGCTTCAAGATCTATTTTACATTCAGTCGGCTGAGTAAAACTTCATTCAGTTTTTGTAAAAAGATCCATTAAAATGGACATAAAGCTTATTATGAGCTGCCACTGGGGTTATGACTCATCACAAGGCCTCTACAAAGCAAATTATAGTGTTTGAGAACTGATACTGGTGCTCTATATATCTTACATCTTACCTCCATTACTGCACTTTTTTAGCCTCTGAAACAACATCTAGACATGTGTGAAAGTTAATTCTTGACCTTTGAGCACTGAACTATAGTACTTTGAACTTAAGTTAAGATTATTTGCCAAACAGCATTATGACCATTTGACACTACAAGTCTGCAGTGAGACCAGATCCTTCAACATCTGCAGGACGATGCTGAGGATGCCTTATGAGTCTGTGGTGGCCAGCGCTCTATGTGTTTGCTGTTGAGGGCAGCGGACGCTAACAGACTCAACAAACTGATCCGTAAAGCCGGTGACATCGTGGGGGCGGAGCTGGACTCTCTGTCGGTGGTGTCAGAGAGGAGGATGCTGTATGTCACCTTGGACAGTGTCTCCCACCCACTCCATGACGTGCTGCTCAAACACAGGAGTGTTTGCAAGACTCATGCCTCTAAAATGCACCACAGAGCGCCACAGGAGGTCATTCCTATCTATGGCCATCAAACTCTTTAACTCCTCCCCCAAAGAGAGTCTGACACACGGACTCTTTAAGCCTCGAATATACCCGGGAGCAGTCATTAAAGGTTCAGTGTGTAAGTTTTAGTGGCATCTAGTGGTGAGAGTTGCAAATTGTAACCAACGGCTCAGTCACTGCTCACCCCTCCCTTTGCAAGCACAAAGGAGAAGCTAGTCAACTGTTGTGGTAAATAAATTAGACATCTCTTCTTACTTCTAATAAACCAAACGACTACTACTACTACTAATACTACTTCCTTCTTCTTAGTACATATTCAAACGCGCTCTGTAGCGCCGTTTGGGCGAAACATGGCGGCACAACAAAATAATGTGCAATCCTCTGGTTTATGATGTCCCAATACTCATTAGTATTAATATTGTTTATTCATTACACTTCTGTCACATACTGTAAACAGTACTACTTGCCAACGTTTTAGTATTATTTTTATTTCTTTAATTCCTTGATTAGCAAAGTGAGTAACTGTAAGACAACAATTTCCCCTCTGGGAATTTCTGATTTTGAGTCTTTAAAGGTCCATCCATCGTCAATTATCCTGCGTACAGGGTCGCGGGAGCCTTTAAAGGTACTTCTGAGGATATATCGGTGGTTTATATAGTGGTGTATAAAGACCCTACATAATGAACCGTTATGTTTTTATTACCTTCTACAGTAGCTGAAAACGGACAGAGCGTGTTTCGTCACTACGTTCTTCTTGTTCTACTTCTGGTAGAATTCCGGCAGTGCGGACAAGACATAATATTGACAAATATTGACATGTTGTTTTGTTAGCTCAGTTGGTAAAATGCTGGACTTGTAACTCAGGGGCTGAGTGGTTGATCCCGCCTCCAGACATTTTTTTCTCTCTTCCACAAATGGATTCTGCAGCGAATGTTTCTCAGATCACGGCATGTGCTGCACTGTATTTCTTTCGGTGTTTGATCCTCATCCATCAACCTACGGACGCTTTTTCATTTCCCCAGTATCTCCAGGCAGAGGACATTTAGGGGAATCACATTTTCGTGACGGCTCTTTCAGAGGTGTGTCAAGCAGCTACAGACTCTTTAAAGGTCATTCAGAATTTAGTAAAGTAAAAAAGTAAAAGCTCAGTTCAACTCCAAATACAACATTACAGTAAACAGTTATTTTTTAGGCAAAACCACCAAAGAGGAAGTGATTGTGTGAGCAACTGTTGGCTTACATTTTCCATGTTGTCTGTCACTGGCCAAGTCACAATAACATGTGGTTTTACTGATTAATTAAGTAAAAATAATTTCTTAAGAAATATACCTACAGAAACCTCATTTCTTGACTGACCACTCTGCTGTCTCAGAAGAGACACCTTTTGTGCTGTGTCAGCCACCGTAGCTGTCCTTCGCTCTTTACGTTTACGTTTTCCGCTTGCTCTGCAGTTCCCTTCAGCTCAACCTAACTTTCTGGCATCTTGTTTTTACAGCCTGTTTAAAGTCTCTCGGCTCTCGTTAGCTTAGTTTCCAGCAGCAGCAGGCGGCTGTTTTCAGATTAAAAGCTCTGATTAGTATAAACTGTACATGACTTGCTAAGCACCAAACAGCAGCCAGACACAGTCAGAGACTAAAGGGGAAGAAAGTCGAACAGCTAGATGTTAAAGAGCCAGATATCTCTGGGTGGAGACCAAACCAGAGCTAACAGCAGATAAATGAACATGATTTCAGATTAAGGCTATTGTTTCTCTGTATCTGCTGTGTAAATAAGACAAACATGTTTGTTAACGTCTTGTAATAACAGCTTGTTGCACTGCCCCCAAGTGGCCAAAAAAACCTCCCATAATACAGGTTTAAAGTTACCTGCCCTGATATAATCAGAGGTTGTGCCCAAATCCCCAGATTTCCATCACCTGCTTCCAACAAGTCCTCAAAGCTCCCCTGTGGAGGAAGGCTATAATATTACATCACCTGTGATTACCTGCTGCTGACGCTCCACAGCCAACGCTCAGCTCTCTGAGTGTAAATCAGAGCGTCTGAGTTGATCTGAGCCTCCACATCGCCCTCAGGCTCCTGCAGGTCGAGGGATGAAGGAGGAGGAGGAGAGGAGGATGAAAAGACAGGAAACATCTGAGAGAAAGTGTGACTGTAGTCCGATACCTGACTTTTGTGTCTGAACAATGATTATGTTATTTTACCATCAGGGTTTTTAAAATTGCTCAACTTTAAATTATAATTTTCAAAGTTGGACATTTTAAATGAAATATTTATTTACAACTAATGGCCTGGCAAAAGAATTGATGACATGTTCTGGGTGTAAAGCCTTCATGAAGTCAGTTTACATGACGGCAGGTGTGTTTGTACAGGGCACACACCTGCACAACTGCGAGTGGAAATGAAAAGAAAGAAAGAAAGAAATAAAAGACACAATAAAATGGAAATTAAAATGAATAAATAATAAAATGGAAATTAAAATGAATAAAACAAATGTAAATAAAATGGCACAGAAATAGAAAAAATTTTTAATTAAAAAAACCTGCTGCTCCCACGTTTTTGCGCTTCTACAATTATTATAATTATCTTTTTTACTGATATTTCTAGGCCATTCTCTTATTTTGCATCTCTGCATGGACTTGCATTATGCTACTTATTATTAATACATCTGCATTTTATTCCACATTAAAAGCACTCACACGCTGTAAGGTTCATGTATTTGACCCTTTAATGGCAGCAGCCTACATTAAAAGGCAAAAAAGCTCATTTAGATTCAAGAAGGAGCAAGAGGAGGAGGGCGGTGTGTGGTTGTGTGTTTGTTATTTAAAATGCCATAAATCAATCATAAACACGGACAGGGAAGCTTTATCGCTGAGAAACATTCACGCCGGCTCCCCTGAAGCTGCTGCAGTGACTCACTCACAGTTTTTAAAACATCCAACTGCAGCCTGAATATTTCATCTGTGGGAGAATGATGCAGGACGGGTGGATGCATGACAGAAAGAGAGAGGCTGCGTGGGAAGTGTGTGTGTGTGTGAGAGAGAGTGGATGCAACACTTTCTATAAATTTCTTTGTGCAGAAGATATTTCCACCAAAAGGAGAAGTAACTGGAGATCGTGGCTTTCTAAACCCTTAATCTCCTACTTTAACACCAGCTTAAACTGTATTAAGATTTTTTAAGATTTGTGCATTAAATTAAGGAGCTTTAAGGTGTAAAACATCTGATCTCTTGATTTAAGACTTTTAGTGTATGTTATCACCAAAATATCAACTCTCTATGAGCTGAGATGACAGATTTCTTTATCTTAATGAATTAACCCATAAGAAAACCCAAAATCCCAAGACCATCAAATTTGGTGTCCAGAGATTTTCACTGGACAGCCATGATATGGAGTTCAGTTAAAGGCTTTTTTTTTTTTTATCAGAGACATATATTATCATTTTGTCCAATTGGATTTTATTTTATCTCACGTTTAAATCTCCCTTTATTATATTTTGTTCTCCTTTTCAGTGTGTTTGTAAGTGTTTAAAATGTATTTTGAACGCATTTCTTCCCCCTGTTCCTCTGTGTTTCTAAGGTGCAAACAGCTTCCCTAATGCCCCAGTTTAGAAACGAGTAGCTGCTGTTTAAACTGAACCACCAGTAAATCTGTTAAAGCGTCTTACCTTTATAAATCTGTCCAGCAGCGGTTCAGTAAATCCCACTTAGTAAAGCCTCTCTCTCCGTTGATGCCCTCCGCTCCTTGGCGCGACATCTACCGTCCTCAAACCGATTCAGCGTCGCTCCAGCTCGGCCAGAAGTCGGAGCCTCGCTCGGTTCCTGCAGCTCCTCCGGGGTGAGAAGCTCGCTGCTCCTGCAGCCTCCTAAAATATCCCGTTCACACAAACAAGAGACATCACGCACGGCTCTCCCTGCGCCCTCATTGGTCCCCGCGCACGGCTGATGTTTCCCGTTGCTTGGAGACTGAGTTAATGCGGTGATGACGCTCCCGCATCCTCTCCCCCCGCATCCATCTCTGAATGGTTTCAACACAGGCAACTTTTCTGCCTGGAAAAGTAGGCTACAAACCAGATGCTCTTCTGTTTTCTCTTAGACGAGACGTCTCCAGCCACGAGTTGTTTAGACCAAGGGCGTGACTTTATTTTGAAAAGTGGTGGGTGACGATGAGAGCTCAGATTAGGGGTGAGACACTAAAATATTAGGTTCAGGAGAAAGAGGAGGAAGTTGCTGACACATAAAACAACATTTTATGGATTTCTTTGAATCTTGAAGATGGCTACCATTGGGTAAAATATTATTAAGTAAAATAAAAATGTAGTTGTATTTAATCAAATGTATTTTTTTTAGAAAAAAGTAATTTTTCCCAGCACACACACATATAAAATAAACTGTTGGCCAGGAGGTCATGTAATAGGCTTATGTTACTAGCTTTCATGTCATTTAGTTGCTAGGTCTCCGCCCCAAACATACTAACCTACAGCATTTTACTACTTTAACCAAAAACTACAAAAATCTAAATCTAAACATTTAACACTGATCAGATTTTATCTACTGCTTATTTTAAATGACTACATTTATCAACTTCTGTCAGAGTCACTTTAATAAAATAATTTAAAAACCAAATTTGTAGTTGAGTGAGACTAGCAGCCAGAAGCAGTGTTGAGAAAAGGGGGTGTGGATGTTTTAAGCATTAAACACTTAATTTCCTGCATTCTTGACACATTTTCAGCACCAATTTATGGTGGAAATGTGTTTATTTATATGTAGGGAAACACAAAATTCAGGTGGCAGGTGACGATTCAGAATATAAAAATATAATGGGATATTATTTTTTCTACCATAAGTGACTGTTTTTGGACAATGCACATTTGTTTCTCTTAAATTTAAACATGTTTTATTATTGTGCAAATAAACCTTTCTCAAAGCATTTTCATTTGTTAGTTAACGTCTCTCGGTGCAAGCTATTCAAGAAGGTTTTTTAAAAATGCTTTCAAAAAGTGATGGGGACAAAATCAGCTATTTCAAGTGTCCCCAGCGTCCCGTATGTAAATGACTCACATGCTGTATATATATATATTTTTATATTTGTCTACCCTGTAATTTGTCTGCACAACACAAACCCGGTGTAATGCACATGTAAATATCTGCCACACTGTTCCTTCTCTACAATTAGTTCTATTATTCTTTTATAACTTGCATCCGTTCATTCTGTTTATTATTTATATATTTTACATTTATTTATGTCAACTGTATGCTTGCCTACAGTAGCACCTAATCAACCTGTAGCAAATTCCTCGTACATATACATAGATATGAATATATGCTAATGTACTTTTAAAATAAACTTTAAACAGCTTTTAATAAGCTTTTTATAGGCTAATAATTTCTAACCTGAAGCAACTGAACTAAAGTTGAATGAAAATGATAAATATGGAGCACTGTTGCATCTTAAACTGATGTTTTGTTTTCGATTAAATTCAACTTTTGTTGCACTGGAGGTGGCCGTGAATAATATAGTGAAATAATATTTTACTGTTTTTCCACTTTTGTACACTTTTCTACTTTGTACTGCTGCACAAGTTTCCCTCAGGATAAATAAAGTTCTACAGTCTCTTTGGAAACCAAAAACTAGAAAAATCATGATTAAGGCACGATAAAAAAAGTTTAATGAAACACCGATTAGATTAGCACATGCCAAGCAGGTACTGTATCATACTGAAGAAGAATCATTATTGGAATAGTATAGGAGATTACAAGTCTAATTAAGAGTGGTAAGATTGCTATTTATTTGCCATTTAAATGTCCTTTTATGGCACTACTGTATAGGAATATAAATTATTATAGCGATCCAGATGAATGGATTCATTAAAGTTATTGGGTCTCAGTCTCAAGTCGTTGTGACTAAACCACCATACAGCTAATAAACAGACACACAAACAAGCTGCAAATCCATGTTTGTAGGTTAAATCTAAAAAACAAAGCATCTGTCGCCAAAGATCAGACTAAAATCTCCCAAAAACACTTTACAAACCCACGAAATACCTCCGCTAATCTCTAATCCCCTCTGTGTGTGACACTGGAAATCTCTACTCCCAATCACACGGGGATGAACTGTGATTTTCTTTTTCTCTGTTTTCCTCATTCTCGAAATTAAGACATCTGAGCAGAGCTCAGGACGGAGAGACGGACCAAAGAAAACAGATGGCAGACAGACGTTCCCACAGCGGGGCTCTTCTGGGTTTTATTGGCAACGAAAAAACTTGGTACAAAAAGTGTTTTCTGGGTGTCGCCGGGGGCTCAACATGCACGGCCCGGACCAGGGCTGCAGGCGTCTCAGACTCACGGGAAGGTTCCACTTTTCATGTAAATGAAGATCTAAAGAAAAAACCTAAAGGGTTTTTTGTGTTATTACGATAAAATGCTTTGCTGTTTTTTTATTTACAAGTAGAAGAACAGTCAATTTTCAATCTTACGTTAGTGACAACTGAAAAAAAAAAGCAAAGATTATTTAAAAATAAAATATTTCTGTTGCTAAAAGGAAAATTAAAAAACCCCAAATAATATTTATTTTGACAAAAAGCTCTGTTTGAGACAGGCTTACGGGATAACATTTAAAGGACTTGTTCCCCATTTTGGGAAATGCTTATTTGCAGAGAGTTAAATAAGAAGATCAGTATTTCTCCCATGTTTTTGCAGTAAGTACGGAACTAGAACCAGGAGGCGATTAGCTTAGCTTAGCATAAGCAGTTAGCCTGGCTCTGTCCAACGTTAAAAAAACACACCAACCTCACTAGTCAACACGTTATATCCCCAGCTTGTCACATATGAACGCATCGGCATCAGTTTGTAACGCACTGGGGATCTCTGTAGTGTCATAGTTCAACGCAGTGGGGGAAACCCTGAAGGCAGGTATATCATATTCAACAGAAAAGACTGAGTAAGGAGGTGGTTGGAGGGTCAGAACCCCGACTTTGAACC